GCTGCTTTTACCAGGAGAGTCGTGTTTCATTACTGTCACGTAAACGATTAATAAACGTAACGTGATTAAGTGAAGCACGAGGAATAAATCAGTATTACTATAATTGATAAGAACCCTTCTTTAATAGACTTGATAATTACTACAGCGATTTCTCCCTAATTCACCTTGATTCGACTTGACGACCAGAATCTTTAAAATAGTCACATTTAATTGTCAACTGGAAATTTTTCTTTCATAAAATCTTTCTTAAAACACTCAAAGGAACAGGTGCGTTAAGGAGGACGGCTGAATTGAGACTTAATTCCATAATTCCCTTTTAAAAAATATCCAAAACTAGGAATTTCTTTTCAGTCTATATTATTTTTGCTATGTATGGCAGAGTCTCAAGAAAGAAGACTCATCTTTTTAACTTTCAAACTAAGATAATTCTAGAGAAACATATACTTGAAGGCTTAACTTTCGACGGTGATCGCATCTGTCATTTTAATTATAAACGGAATACACGAAATTAAAGACCATTTAAATGTAGTATAGATAGATATTACTCGGTACTCTCAGATAACATTTTTTATACAAATATCATACTAACTTATGTTTCATGTAGCTTTTCTGAATTCAATTATTGGTAGAATTTCTCACAACGTTGAATTAGTCGAGCATCGAATCGTGGTGACGAAGATTTTGAAACATAGTCAATATTAATAAAATATACTGTTATCAATATCGTTAGCTGTATAGAATTTCAAGTTGACTGTTTAGAGTGTATTTAGAGTGTGATCCGGACGTTATATCTCACCAGCCTGACGTTATAATATCTCACCAGCCTGACGTTATAATCACAAGCCTGACGTTATAATATCTCACCAGCCTGACGTTATAATATCTCACCAGCCTGAAGTTATAATATCTCATCAGCCTGACGTTATAATATCTCACCAGCCTGACGTTATAATATCTCACCAGCCTGACGTTATAATATCTCACCAGCCTGAAGTTATAATATCTCACAAGCCTGACGTTATAATATCTCACAAGCCTGACGTTATAATATCTCCCCAGCCTGACGTTATAATATCTCACCAGCCTGACGTTATAATATCTCACAAGCCTGACGTTATAATATCTCGCCAGCCTGACGTTATAATATCTCACCAGCCTGAAGTTATAATATCTCACAAACCTGACGTTATAATATCTCACCAGCCTGACGTTATAATATCTCACAAGCCTGACGTTATAATATCTCACCAGCCTGACGTTATAATATCTCACCAGCCTGACGTTATAATATCTCACAAGCCTGACGTTATAATATCTCACCAGCCTGACGTTATAATATCTCACCAGCATGACGTTATAATATCTCACCAGCCTGACGTTATAATATCTCACCAGCCTGACGTTATAATATCTCACCAGCCTGACGTTATAATATCTCACCAGCCTGACGTTATAATATCTCACCAGCCTGACGTTATAATATCTCACCAGCCTGACGTTATAATATCTCACTAGCCCGACGTTATAATATCTCACCAGACGTTATAATATCTCACCAGTCTGACGTTATAATATCTCACCAGCCTGACGTTATAATATCTCACCAGCCTGACGTTATAATATCTCACCAGCCTGACGTTATAATATCTCACCAGCCTGACGTTATAATATCTCACCAGCCTGACGTTATAATATCTCACCAGCCTGACGTTATAATATCTCACCAGCCTGACGTTATAATATCTCACCAGCAAGACGTTATAATATCTCACCAGCCTGACGTTATAATATCTCACCAGCCTGGCGTTATAATATCTCACCAGCCTGACGTTATAATATCTCACCAGCCTGACGTTATAATATCTCACCAGCCTGACGTTATAATATCTCACCAGCCTGACGTTATAATATCTCACCAGCCTGACGTTATAATATCTCACTAGCCCGACGTTATAATATCTCACCAGACGTTATAATCAACCATGTCAATTGGTTCCATCTATTCCTTAGAAACAGAAATAAGGTTAAAATATTCAAATCGATTTTCCTTGTTGCATCTTTAATTTGAACTTTGAAATATGTCGATTGGCATCCAGACCTTTTTTTTTTTATCTCATTCTTTATTCAATTTGTCCCCGAATGCTTCAACGTTCTTTCTCACAAAAATATTTTTCATTATCGAGTGAAAACTACTTCATCTCCAGCAACACAACAAATATAAAATAGAGTGAAAACTACTTCATCTCCAGCAACACAACAAATATAAAATAGAGTGAAAACTACTTCATCTCCAGCAACACAACAAATATAAAATAGAGTGAAAACTACCTCATCTCCAGCAACACAACAAATATAAAATAGAGTGAAAACTACTTCATCTCCAGCAACACAACAAATATAAAATAGAGTGAAAACTACCTCATCTCCAGCAACACAACAAATATAAAATAGAGTGAAAACTACTTCATCTCCACCAACACAACAAATATAAAATAGAGTGAAAACTACTTCATCTCCAGCAACACAACAAATATAAAATAGAGTGAAAGCTACTTCATCTCCAGCAACACAACAAATATAAAATAGAGTGAAAACTACCTCATCTCCAGCAACACAACAAATATAAAATAGAGTGAAAACTACCTCATCTCCAGCAACACAACAAATATAAAATAGAGTGAAAGCTACTTCATCTCCAGCAACACAACAAATATAAAATAGAGTGAAAACTACTTCATCTCCAGCAACACAACAAATATAAAATAGAGTGAAAACTACTTCATCTCCAGCAACACAACAAATATAAAATAGAGTGAAAACTACTTCATCTCCAGCAACACAACAAATATGAAATATTCTCTCATTATTGAAAAAATAAAAATAAAAATGAAAAAACGTATGTTGAAGTGTCTTTAGATCATTCTGTGGATTGTTTGATTTGAATCTCTATGAGTTTTTAACTACTACCGAGTTATGCCGAGTTATCGACACTCATCGAATGATAAACAAGTTAAAGTTAGTCGAAAGAAAAGGGTCGACTCCCCTTTACTTTATCAACGCCTTGTGTCCAAGAGAAGAATATCATTACTTTCTGAGTATTTGTTTATTTGTAAAAGAAAGAAAGAAACAATCAACAAGGATAACAACATAGATTCATGAGGATCCGTTCTATCAACTGATCCTTGGCCAAACATCTTGGCATTGATCTTTCCCAGATGTTCGGTACCCATTTATAACTCGGTAGAAACCGGATAATAGAATTTGTCAGTTACAATGTAAATTATAAGATGTTATTAAAATAAGGAGAGAATTGATAATGTTCATAGATTCTAAATTCAGTCACATTGTAGACTATCTCCAACCATCGAGCAGGGATCTTGTGAGAATTAGCTTTTACCAATACATGTACATTGTTTTGGATATCGGGTTTCGTTTTGTGGTCGGATCGTTACTATTTGAGTTTTTTTTTTATTTATATGTATCTGTGTTATTTGTACAGGGCATTTTGTTTTATATTGAACTTAAAAATCATTGCTTTAGTTTCAAAATAAAGATATGATTAGATTCCGATGGAATGTCCACAATATGTCAAATGATGTCCTCTCCGAACTTAAAAAAACATGCCGACATCATTAAGACGTAATATGCTGATCAAGGTCACCAGGGACGGGAAATGACAGACAGAATTTCTCGTTCTGGGCGAAAAAAATCGTTTCGGTTGAATTAACTCGGTTGAATTAACTCCTCGTTGAATAAAAAATCTATTCAAATGTTAATCAATCTCTTTTCTTGTAAGATCCATGATGTTTCCGTGAGTTAATACATGGTTCGTGAAATTGTGACAGAGGAACCACCGCAATCAAACTGGTATAAAAATACATGGTTCGTCAAATTGTGACAGAAGAACCACCGCAATCAAACTGGAATAAAAATACATGGTTCGTCAAATTGTGACAGAAGAACCACAGCAATCAAACTGGTATAAAAATACATGGTTCGTCAAATTGTGACAGAAGAACCACCGCAATCAAAATGGTATAAAAATACATGGTTCGTGAAATTGTGACAGAGGAACCACCGCAATCAAAATGGTATAAAAATACATGGTTCGTCAAATTGTGACAGAAGAACCACCGCAATCAAACTGGTATAAAAATACATGGTTCGTCAAATTGTGACAGAAGAACCACCGCCATCAAACTGGAATAAAAATACATGGTTCTTCAAATTGTGACAGAAGAACCATCGCAATCAAACTGGTATAAAAATACATGGTTCGTCAAATTGTGACAGAAGAACCACCGCAATCAAACTGGTATAAAAATACATGGTTCGTCAAATTGTGACAGAAGAACCATCGCAATCAAACTGGTATAAAAATACATGGTTCGTCAAATTGTGACAGAAGAACCATCGCAATCAAACTGGTATAAAAATACATGGTTCGTCAAATTGTGACAGACCACACACCGGAATGAAACGGTGTCTTCCCACTTCGCCCCTTCCCATTTCGCCCCTACATTATTTCCTTTTCGTCCCTTCTCCATTTCGACCCTTCCCGTATTGCCCCTTGCTATTTCGCCCCTTCCATTTAAATAATACAATTATGCTTATTCCGATTTTAATTCCGGTCCATTTTGGTTCTATGATTTTGGAAATTTGATAAAAGAACACTGGAATGGCAAACCACAAACAAAATTATGATTATTTTTCAAAAACTTCAACTAGTTGAAATTATAGGTTACTGTTTGAGGGCTGCTTATACCTTTTTTCAAATTTGTCATATATCAATTGCAAAAAGGAACGAACTGGGAAATAGGTGGGCATAAGGGGTTAGTGTTAGGGTTAGGTTAGGGTTAGGGTCGAAATGGGAAGGGGCGAAATGGGAATAAATAGGGGGCGAATTGGGAAGGGGCAAAGCGGGAAAGGGTGAAATGGGAATAAACCAATAAGATAGTATAGAAACGAATGTGTGGTACTTACCCAACAATAAAGTAAACATATCAGAGACAGCTAGACTAAGTAGGTAGTAATTAGTGGCGGTATGTAGGTAACGGTTTTTACCTATTACTATACACGTCGACAAGTTTCCTATAACACCTGTTACAAATATAGCACAATAAACCACTGTCAGGGTGGCCACAGACACCGTGCCCTGTCTCCTCTCTCCCATCTCCTCATTCAAAAACTCTTCCTTATCAAACACGTCACTTCCGTTTTTTACACTCTCTAATGTTAGAGTCAAAATTGTGTAATTCGAATTCAAGACCGCCATTTTGTTTTTAAATGCACTTACTTAAATCACACTAGAGTATTAACGGACATTCGAATATAAATCATAATTAAAATGTCAATACTTTATACATGATATTTGGTTTTAAATCCAAGTTCTCTAATTAATGGTTGCAGAAAAGTAGGACGTAAAACTCTATTCATTTCATTTCATTTCTAACTGATGGAATAATTAACTGATTAATTAATCCTACTGTATTCAACCCCTATAGTCATGTGTAATCCTCTCGACATTAAAGTGTATGCCTGAGATCTTAGTTTTAATCCTCTATTTACTTAGACATGATTTTTCTCTGATTTTTACAATCAACAGCTATTCTACATTGTTATTTTATAAATTAAGGATTTCACCCTTCAATAACACACTACAGCCCCCTCACATTCCTGAAAACTACAGACGTAAAGTTTCAATATTTTACCAGAAATTCAAGCACTGCAAACTTTGTGACGAGTCGTTTGATGATTTCGTATAATTTAATGGTCTACTGCTAGCAACCTACGTTCAAATTCCAAACGGAACTCACACGAAACGTCAATTAACCTAATTTCTATTAAATTGTTTTCAAACAAATTCTTAATTGGTATTTAATCAACTCCTACTATCTTGTCCAATGACAGGCGAGAAATCTGCTGTAGGCTTTCACTTCCATTTATCAACTACTAAAAGTAGAAGGAAAAATTTCACAGGAATATCAGGCGGTGATTACTGGATTATTCCATTCAATAAACTGTCCCAATATCAACTTGGCCAGTGTTATTTCACACTGTCAACTATATTTCAAGTCTGCTTCATTGATTTTGTCGGCTATTGGATCTTGATTTAAAGGGATTGTAAAGAGTTTTTTGTAAACTTTTAATGTGTATCATAGACACTGATAGCACCCATTTGCACCAATTTTCAGTCAGGTGACTATAGTTACTGTTATTATAGGAATTGTTAACTGGATATAAATTTCCTATAAAGTGATAAGAGCTTTTACGATGTTGATGTCGTAAAATGTTTAGTTTTAGCGGAATTGCAAGAACCACAGACGTTTGTGGAAAACTAGAATGGTGTAAATTGAGGCTATTTGTAAATGGAAAGTTTACAATAAAAAGCCTTACAAGAAAGTTTAGTTAATCAAAATCCCGTCCAAACTATGGCAAAATTGAGAGTAAAAGTTGTATAGTAGTGGACTCCTCTAAATAGCAGTACCATCAACACCTCTTTATAATGCTTTAAAGGATTGACTGTCGATTCTGCGCCTACATCGTCTCGTCATTTCTTGTTGCTCAGGTTTAAATGATAAAGAATCAAATTTTACATAGAAATTATTATCAGTTTCTATTCTGCCTGAATTACACTAACCTAAATTATTTTGTGGTTTACTTACATTATTTTTATTTTCCATGTATTAATTCTTATAAAATAACTTCACACCAAATTGATTTATAGAAAACCTTTGATTCTATCCCTCTCTTCAAAATCGTTTATGTTTGCAGTCTCGCTTCAATTTTAACCACAATGATTTATTATTAAGGCCATTTCCACTAGAGCATGTAGTCGCCGTCAGCAAGACAGATGAGACAGAAACCATCAGATAGAAATAGATCATTAAATTTCTAGTTTGAGGTATATATTTGATATTTCTTATCTAATACTGTTCTAATACTTCAGATGACTATTTAGATATACATATTCAAGACTCAAATCAATCATAGGAAATGCCTATTGTTTCTCTTTTAGATATTTGTTTTGTATTGTTTATAAGAAAACATTTTGATTTTTTGCGTGCTATTTGCATTGTTATTGAAGCAGAGTGTAGGATTTCTACCACTTATAAACAGACACTATTCAACTCGTTAATAAAACACTTGACATTAATTAACTAATTTTCAGACTGTCCACAGATAATGTTAAGAGCCTGTTAAACTTATTGTAGTATTTAATACTATATCCCTTAAACCGAAAACATTGTTTACTAAAGCTAGGTTTACCAGAGCTTGGTTTGCTAGAACTAGGTTTACTAGAGCTAGGTTTACTAGAACTTGGTTTACTTGAGCTTTGTTTACTAGAACTAGAGTATGGTCTCCTAAAACAACTTGGTTTGCTAGAGTTTGGTTTGTCAGAGTTGGGTCTCCTAGAACAACTTGGTTTACTACAGTTTGGTTTACTAGAATGGTTGCATTCCGCGATAAATATTATTACAAATCTGTTTTTTTCATTTTGGCTGATTTGTTTGGTCAGGCATAAATTGATCTGGTTGTATCTCATGATTTTGACCTATATAGTAGTGGTGATTGTTGCACGCGAAGCAGACCATGCTTTCATTTTTCAAAACACATTATGGTACTTCTCGTTGGAGGACTCCACTACTATAGTACTTTTACTCTCAATAATTACTATTGGTTAGAAGGAATTGTTGTTTTTACTTTCTGACATATATCTACATCAATACCATTTAAATTCCGATAGAAGTCACGTGACCCATCTCCCGTGATGATGAATTGGTACCAAACAGCTTGGAGCATGTTTTTATTTTCCACTGGATTGTAAAATTGGCAGGAAACGGAATATCTTGCTGTGCTTACTCCGGAAAAAATAAAAAATACTAAAAACAATTCAGAGTTCTCTAAGGAAACTGACTGTTATTATTTACGATTTGACCACATTCAGTTTTAATCAATACGAATAATGAACATTGGAATCGCCGGACTGAAATATAAAATAGAGGTAAAGAGGCACTATCAGTCATTTACTAGTCCATATAGTCAACTAGAATCACATTATACACTCCAATAACAACCTAATAGTTGACTAGAATCACACCATACACTACAATAACAACCTAATAGTAAAATAGAATCACATCATACACTACAATAACAACCTAATAGTAGACTAGAATCACATCATACACTACAATAACAACCTAATAGTAGACTAGAATCACACCATACACTACAATAACAACCTAATAGTAGACTAGAATCACATCATACACTACAATAACAATCTAATAGTAGACTAGAATCACACCATACACTACAATAACAACCTAATAGTACACTAGAATCACATCATACACTACAATAACAACCTAATAGTAGACTAGAATCGCATTATACACTACAATAACAACCTAATAGTAGACTAGAATCACATCATACACTACAATAACAATCTAATAGTAGACTAGAATCACATCATACACTACAATAACAACCTAATAGTAGACTAGAATCGCATTATACACTACAATAACAACCTAATAGTAGACTAGAATCACACCATACACTACAATAACAACGTAATAGTAGACTAGAATCACATCATACACTACAATAACAACCTAATAGTAGACTAGAATCACATCATACACTACAATAACAACCTAATAGTAGACTAGAATCACATCATACACTACAATAACAACGTAATAGTAGACTAGAATCACATCATACACTACAATAACAATCTAATAGTAGACTAGAATCACATCGTACACTACAATAACAATCTAATAGTAGACTAGAATCACATTATACACTACAATAACAACCTAATAGTAGACTAGAATCACATCATACACTACAATAACAACCTAATAGTAGACTAGAATCACACCATACACTACAATAACAACCTAATAGTAGACTAGAATCACACCATACACTACAATAACAACCTAATAGTAGACTAGAATCACACCATACACTACAATAACAACCCAATAGTAGACTAGAATCACACCATACACTACAATAACAACGTAATAGTAAACTAGAATCACACCATACACTACAATAACAACGTAATAGTAGACTAGAATCACATCATACACTACAATAACAACCTAATAGTAGACTAGAATCGCATTATACACTACAATAACAACCTAATAGTACACTAGAATCACATCATACACTACAATAACAACCTAATAGTAGACTAGAATCACATCATACAACTGATGGAAGTAAGATTATGTCGATCCAACACAAAGTTAAGTTCTGTAATAATGGGAGAGAACTCAATATTATTAACTATACAGGGAACAAAATATGCGGTATCGATACAATCTTTGGTAAAATGAGGTGTAATTTTTGTTCAGTAGACCATTCTTTTTTGCGATGCATAATACTTTTTGATAATGAATAAGACTTAACTTATTTTTATGATTGGTGACTAAAACAATGAGAGAAATTTGTCATACTTTTGATTGAAATAACTGCTTCATCATTGAACGATCTACAACACTTATATTAAAACAATTACTACTAATGAATGTCACTTTCCGTTAGAAAGACCACAAACCCGCTAAGAAATTCAGGCCCATACAGAAAATGAAGCTGTACCGCGCTATATTTGATATCAATAATAATATTTATTCGTACATTGATTAAATATTATAATTATAATACACAGGAACACACAAAAACAAACATATACACAATACAACAACAATTTAATTTACACAGAGTTAATAAATGATTTAACATAGGTTCTTTGTTCTCTAAGAGATATGATGGCACCAGCTATTTGTATATGGTCTTGGCTATCAACGTTAACAAAATGATCAAATCTATCAAGTCAAGCGGATGTTGATAAAATGTAGTGATCTACTTTCATTTTGGCTAACTCAAGATTTTCATGGTCATCATAATATATTGAATTTTTGTCCAGAAACCTAGCATTGGCCAGGCTTTTATGTGACACATTGGAAAGTTTTAAACGCAATTTCTTATAAATTTCAATAAATTATAGAAGGTTGAATTTCATGATTTCATGATGGCAAATGAATTACCGGTTTGAGTCCGTTTGTATTGTAATAATGGGAGAGAACTCTATTTTATTTACTGTTATATGTTGGCCATCTGGACTCACTCCACTAAAACATTTTATGCAAATGATTGTATGGGAATGTAGTCCAGGCTATTTTTAGAAATCTTCTTTCTCTCTCCCTTTTGGGGTTTTTGCCTGCCTATTTTTGGGTACAATTTGGTCTAGATTTGGAATTTGATGTCTGAAATTGCATTATCTTTCAGATTTGGTGAGATGATGAGAGACTTAAAGGCGGAAGGCTAATTCTAAAAATAGTCGAAGAAGACAAGACTATTACTTGATGAATATTCACTAAACAATCTTACAAGTACTCAGCCATTCGTGGCCAACTTTTGAATAAAGTATTTGTCCATCATAGGCATGTACATTATAGCCCCGTCACACCGGACTGCGACCATGTGCTATCTAACGGCGTCTTGAATGTACTAGGTTGCGGTCAAACGTGAGGAAAACTAGAGAAAAAATAGCACCCATGGGCTACTTGAACATTGTTTGTAAATATGGTTTAATAGTTATTCAAAGCGAGAGCTACAGATTGGAATGCACGAAGAGAGATAGCAATAAAAATGGCGTCATTCGGGAAAACATAGTTCCGATAGTATTCAGCATATATGTCATATGAATATTATCATTATTTTTATCTGTAAGAATAGTATTACACATGTATGTTATAAACTTCTATATTGGCAATAATTTTTTGCTTTATCAGTAGATAGAGCTCAATGTCAGCAATCAATATAGACGTCTTAATATTGACTTTATCAGTAGATAGAACTCAATGTCAGCAATCAATATAGACGTCTTAATATTGACTTTATCAGTAGATAGAACTCAATGTCAGCAATCAATATAAACGTCTTAATATTGACTTTACCAGTAGATAGAACTCAATGTCAGCAATCAATATAAAAGTCTTAACATTGACTTTATCAGTAGATAAAACTCAATTTCAGCAATCAATATAAAAGTCTTAATATTGACTTTATCAGTAGATAGAGCTCAATGTCAGCAATAAATATAAAAGTCTTCATATTGACTTTATCAGTAGATAGAGCTCAATGTCAGCAATAAATATAGTCGTCTTAATATTAACTTTATCAGTAGATAGAACTCAATGTCAGCAATAAATATAGTCGTCTTAATATTGACTTTATCAGTAGATAGAACTCAATGTCAGCAATAAATATAGTCGTCTTAATATTGACTTTATCAGTAGATAGAACTCAATGTCAGCAATCAATATAAAAGTCTTAATATTGACTTTATCAGTAGATAGAACTCAATGTCAGCAATCAATATAAAAGTCTTAATATTGACTTTATCAGTAGATAGAACTCAATGTCAGCAATAAATATAGTCGTCTTAATATTGACTTTATCAGTAGATAGAACTCAATGTCAGCAATCAATATAAAAGTCTTAATATTGACTTTATCAGTAGATAGAGCTCAATGTCAGCAATCAATATAAAAGTCTTAATATTGACTTTATCAGTAGATAGAACTCAATGTCAGCAATCAATATAAAAGTCTTAATATTGACTTTATCAGTAGATAGAACTCAATGTCAGCAATAAATATAGTCGTCTTAATATTGACTTTATCAGTAGATAGAGCTCAATGTCAGCAATAAATATAGTCGTCTTAATATTGGCTTTATCAGTAGATAGAACTCAATGTCAGCAATAAATATAGTCGTCTTAATATTGACTTTACCAGTAGATAGAGCTCAATGTCAGCAATCAATATAAAAGTCTTAATATTGACTTTATCAGTAGATAGAACTGAATGTCAGCAATCAATATAGACGTCTTAATATTGACTTTATCAGTAGATAGAACTCAATGTCAGCAATAAATATAGTCGTCTTAATATTGACTTTATCAGTAGATAGAACTCAATGTCAGCAATCAATATAAAAGTCTTAATATTGACTTTATCAGTAGATAGAACTCAATGTCAGCAATCAATATAAAAGTCTTAATATTGACTTTATCAGTAGATAGAGCTCAATGTCAGCAATCAATATAAAAGTCTTAATATTGACTTTATCAGTAGATAGAACTCAATGTCAGCAATAAATATAGTCGTCTTAATATTGACTTTATCAGTAGATAGAACTCAATGTCAGCAATCAATATAAAAGTCTTAATATTGACTTTATCAGTAGATAGAACTCAATGTCAGCAATCAATATAAAAGTCTTAATATTGACTTTATCAGTAGATAGAACTCAATGTCAGCAATCAATATAAAAGTCTTAATATTGACTTTATCAGTAGATAGAACTCAATGTCAGCAATCAATATAAAAGTCTTAATATTGACTTTCTCAGTAGATAGAGCTCAATGTCAGCAATCAATATAAACGTCTTAATATTGACTTTATCAGTAGATAGAACTGAATGTCAGTAGTCCCTACTTTTAGTGATCAATTATCATTGTTGTAAATTATAGTCCCTACTTTCAGTTAAGAATTATCATTGTTGTAAATTATAGTCCCTACTTTCAGTTAAGAATTATCATTGTTGTAAATTATAGTCCCTACTTTCAGTTAAGAATTATCATTGTTGTAAATTATAGTCCCTACTTTCAGTTAAGAATTATCATTGTTGTAAATTATAGTCCCTACTTTTAGTTAAGAATTATCATTGTTGTAAATTATAGTCCCTACTTTCAGTTAAGAATTATCATTGTTGTAAATTATAGTCCCTACTTTTAGTTAACAATTATCTTTGTTGTAAATTATAGTCCCTAATTTCAGTTAACAATTATCATTGTTGTAAATTATAGTCCCTACTTTTAGTTAACAATTATCTTTGTTGTAAATTATAGTCCCTACTTTCAGTTAACAATTATCATTGTTGTAAATTATAGTCCCTACTTTTAGTTAACAATTATCTTTGTTGTAAATTATAGTCCCTACTTTCAGTTAACAATTATCTTTGTTGTAAATTATAGTCCCTACTTTTAGTTAACAATTATCATTGTTGTAAATTATAGTCCCTACTTTTAGTTAAGAATTATCATTGTTGTAAATTATAGTCCCTACTTTTAGTTAACAATTATCTTTGTTGTAAATTATAGTCCCTACTTTCAGTTAACAATTATCTTTGTTGTAAATTATAGTCCCTACTTTTAGTTAACAATTATCATTGTTGTAAATTATAGTCCCTACTTTTAGTTAAGAATTATCATTGTTGTAAATTATAGTCCCTACTTTTAGTTAACAATTATCATTGTTGTAAATTATAGTCCCTACTTTTAGTTAACAATTATCATTGTTGTAAATTATAGTCCCTACTTTTAGTTAACAATTATCTTTGTTGTAAATTATAGTCCCTACTTTTAGTTAACAATTATCATTGTTGTAAATTATAGTCCCTACTTTTAGTTAACAATTATCATTGTTGTAAATTATAGTCCCTACTTTTAGTTAACAATTATCTTTGTTGTAAATTATAGTCCCTACTTTCAGTTAACAATTATCTTTGTTGTAAATTATAGTCCCTACTTTCACTTAACCATTATCATTGTTGTAAAGCATAGTTCCTAAATAATAAAATACCCATTTCATTGGTGATTAATCTTTGCCAAAGTCACTGCTTACCTCATAATAATACTGTTATAAATATCTAAGAATATGGGTATTATTACTTCTAACCCTAATTAGAAAACTGCCAATCTTTCTCTGACAACTGGAAGTTTGCCAAACCTCTATAAAAATTTATTTTTCTTATTTTACAGAATGTTTTTTTACTTCTCAAGTATTATTTCCACCGTTTGGTTCAATTAAAATCATCAATATTGCTGAAGAGAACTGTACTATCCAGTACTGTATTGATAATAATATAACCGGATGTAATCCACCTGTTATTACTGAATCTGGGAACTGTCGCCTTTTTTTCTCCCCATTACTCAATTTCCTTTCTCGTATTAGCAACTTTGTTGAATGTGAACAATCTTGCATTAATAATACAGTCTGTCAAGTCTTCTCCTATGATGCTATTAATGGTGCTTGTTTTCTATATGACTCGTTTCCTGATAATCCTAGATTGGAAAACAGCTCTGGCTCTTTAATAGCAGTGAGAGATTGTCCAAGAGAATAATATTATCAATATTGTCAATTTCAATAAATCAGAATGATAAAAAACTCAACCTTAGTATAGTATGACTGACAGACCATTGGAATCTCATTGTTATATTCTTCATTTTTATACACCTACATGGAAATTTTGGTATACATGGTATATTGTCGTCGCCCTTTTCCGTTGGTCCGTCCGTCCACATTACTCGTAGACAGAATAGAGGCAACAGTTTTTATCTTGATGATACTTGGTGTGTATGTATTGATTAGAGCTCGGTCAAGATTGAAATTGGTGATAATCAGATGAACAGTTTTGGAATAATTGCTCAAATTTTGCTTGTAGGAACGATATTGGCTGCAGTTTTTATCTGATCTTGATGACACTTGGTATGTGTAATATATTGATGAGATCTCGGTCTAGTTGGAATTTGGTAAAAGTGGGATGAACGGTTTTGGAGTTATTGCCCCTATTGCATTATTGCCCTTGAAATTCGTCCAATTTGGCTTTTAGGCACGATAGAGGCTGCAGTTTTTATCCAATCTTGATTACACTTTGTATTTAGTTATATATATAATATAAATCGAGTTTGAATTTTCTAATCATTGGTTGAATGATTTTATAGATTGGCTCAAATTTGGCTTGTACGATAGAAGTTTTAATTTTGAATCGATCTTGATTAAACTTGGTATACAATAAAATACAAAATAAGATCTTGGTCAAGTACAAATTTGATGATAATTGGACGAACAATAAATATCATACAGACTAGTGTATTTATCCAATTTTCATGGCATTTGATCTAATTTCCTGATCTAAATAAGACATATTATAGTTACATATTTAGACAGCTTTATCCTTCTTATTTTTTATGGCAATTAAGAGGTCAAGGAATGCCATCACAAGAACATTTCTCTGAAATCCCACTAGTCTAAAATCACATGAACATTTCTCTTAAATCCCACTTGTCTAAAATCACATGAACATTTCTCTTAAATCCCACTAGTCTAAAATCACATGAACATTTCTCTTAAATCCCACTAGTCTAAAATCACATGAACATTTCTCTTAAATCCCACTAGTCTAAAATCACAAGAACATTTATCTCAAATTCCACTAGTCTAAAATCACAAGAACATTTCTCTCAAATCCCACTTGTCTAAAATCACATGAACATTTCTCTGAAATCCCACTAGTCTAAAATCACAAGAACATTTCTCTGAAATCCCACTAGTCTAAAATCACAAGAACATTTATTTCAAATCCCACTAGTCTAAAATCACATGAACATTTCTCTTAAATCCCACTTGTCTAAAATCACATGAACATTTCTCTGAAATCCCACTAGTCTAAAATCACAAGAACATTTATCTCAAATCCCACTAGTCTAAAATCACAAGAACATTTATCTCAAATCCCACTAGTCTAAAATCACATGAACATTTCTCTTAAATCCACTTGTCTAAAATCACATGAACATTTCTCTGAAATCCCACTAGTCTAAAATCACAAGAACATTTCTCTGAAATCCCACTAGTCTAAAATCACAAGAACATTTATTTCAAATCCCACTAGTCTAAAATCACATGAACATTTCTCTTAAATCCCACTAGTCTAAAATCACATGAACATTTCTCTGAAATCCCACTAGTCTAAATCACAAGAACATTTCTCTGAAATCCCACTAGTCTAAAATCACATGAACATTTCTCTGAAATCCCACTAGTCTAAAATCACAGGAACATTTATCTCAAATCCCACTAGTCTAAAATCACGAGAACATTTATCTCAAATCCCACTAGTCTAAAATCACATGAACATTTCTCTTAAATCCACTTGTCTAAAATCACATGAACATTTCTCTGAAATCCCACTAGTCTAAAATCACAAGAACATTTATTTCAAATCCCACTAGTCTAAAATCACATGAACATTTCTCTGAAATCCCACTTGTCTAAAATCACATGAACATTTCTCTGAAATCCCACTAGTCTAAAATCACAAGAACATTTATCTCAAATCCCACTAGTCTAAAATCACAAGAACATTTCTCTGAAATCCCACTAGTCTAAAATCACAAGAACATTTCTCTGAAATCCCACTAGTCTAAAATCACACGAACATTTCTCTCAAATCCCACTAGTCTAAAATCACAAGAACATTTCTCTCAAATCCCACTAGTCTAAAATCACAAGAACATTTCTCTCAAATCCCACTAGTCTAAAATCACAAGAACATTTCTCTCAAATCCACTTGTCTAAAATCACATGAACATTTCTCTGAAATCCCACTAGTCTAAAATCACAAGAACATTTCTCTGAAATCCCACTAGTCTAAAATCACAAGAACATTTCTCTGAAATCCCACTAGTCTAAAATCACAAGAACATTTCTCTAAAATCCCACTTGTCTAAAATCACATGAACATTTCTCTGAAATCCCACTAGTCTAAAATCACAAGATCATTTATCTCAAATCCCACTAGTCTAAAATCACACGAACATTTCTCTCAAATCCCACTAGTCTAAAATCACAAGAACATTTCTCTCAAATCCCACTAGTCTAAAATCACAAGAACATTTCTCTCAAATCCCACTAGTCTAAAATCACAAGAACATTTCTCTCAAATCCCACTAGTCTAAAATCACAAGAACATTTCTCTCAAATCCCACTAGTCTAAAATCACAAGAACATTTCTCTCAAATCACACTAGTCTAAAATCACATTGTTACAAAACCCTAAAACTAAACTCTTGTTTAGCGAAACCGGGGCATAGAAATGTTAAGATAGCTTTTAGATTGTTTGGAGCAGAATGTTCCGACCTGAAAAATATCCACGGTCAGGGAATGTGAGAGACTTGAGCTCTGGACTGAGACCTGTTTTTATCAATGAAACACCATTATTTCATACAATATTAAAGTGCACAAACAGTAAAAGGTGAACAAAAAAGACAAAAGGAAATGTTGATACGGTAAATTACACTAATTATGACATATTTTCATACTTTATACATATTTTTACTTAAAAACTTAAATTAGAGATGACTCTGAATAATTATCCCCGACCGTTGCACCCCAAAACGATCAGGAAAGTTGTGCAAGAGCAGTAGAGGGTTACTCTGTTCATATCTCAGTCTAAATCTAATGGATTGTAATATGCCCAAAAAATTTCCAGTTCAAGGGAGGATCTGAGCACTCAGATGAACTATATAAATAAAAAAAATATTTCATATGTTGGCTATCTGATGGCAGAGATGAATAAGAGGGTAGTTAGGGTTTGGATCAGTCATTCTTTAGCTGGGGAGAGGATAGGATTGTTCTAATATTCTAAGGATTAGGGAAGATCTCCAGTTACCGAATGTAATTAAAATTATAGTTGATATAGACGAGTATGTCTATCCTACAAGTAGAGCACAACAACAACAAGAACTTGTCTACGGTTAGTCTTGTTTACAGTCGAACAGTGTCTACTATTGTAAAAAAGAAGTAGAATTATGCTTACAGAAATTTTATTTGACAAATCATTGATTTTGAGAACGAATTTTGATTTTTATGAACTTATGATCATTTTTTGAAACAGATGTCAAAAATGACCAACAAATGATGGAGTATGAATCAAGCATTACTGACTAAAGATTAAGGATTAAGACTCATAATATTGGGCTGTTCGGTCTTCCATAGACATATAGTATGAGTTATATATATATTTATGTATGTGTAAAGATGTATTGTTGAAAATAAACTATGTATGATTATTATTTATATTACAGAGTGTCATTATGAGTATATTCCTGATAGATATGTGTTAATTTCTGATTATATTTTGCGTCAAATATTTAATAAAACTGAGGCTGAATGTAACCAAATTTGTAACGTCGAGGGCCCAAGCTGCACGTTTCTATATGAAGGTAGTTTTGGTGTATGTTCTCTGTTCACAACACCAATCATCTACGTATCCATGGATACCAATCTTACTGAGTGTGAAGAGAAATGCAATGAGAAGACTGGCTGTCTTACCATGAGCAGTTGGGGACCCGGATTAGACCGATGTTATTTATTCAATGTAAATTACAGTGAGATTCCTGAAGAAAATCGGGCAAATTTTACTGGTGATACCATCAGTATGAAAATGTGTATATAGGTCAAGATCATGAGATACAATCAGATCAATTTATATCTGACCATACAAATTAGATAACATATTCTATAATTACAAAATATTTACACTGTTAGATTATTCACGGTGACAGAATGAAAATCTATATCTGTTGTATGCTTACTGTGCTGTATTAAACATTTTCTTCATATCTCTTAAGAGAAAATAAAAGAGCTTGTGTTAAAGGCCCTGTATACCAATGTATGATATCAAAGAGTGAGAGGGTGGAAATGTTTCCCGTTGCTTTAGTTTCAAAGCTTTTGATATTGTATTGACCAATTCAACAATGATGGGTTGGGCAGAAAATCCACCTCGAATTGCGATCTGGGCTGTCGCCAAATTTCCAAAATAGTGGCATTTTCATTACTGTCCAATAAATCCCTTATGAAATGCTGAAACAAATTTTTGGTGTGTTTAGGGAGAGTTTTAACAAATTTAAGCGTAAAGTGGGTGAAAATATTTTCTATGTCTATAGTAACTAGTCTCTGTCTATCCACTATGGCCACAGCTTATCTGATATAGACTATGGATTCTGATTACTACAGTGATGAACTCCCATTGAACGCATTGTAATTGACCTGCAGGAAATGAAACTACGAAATTCCGTCAAGCTAGGGAAGCCCATTGGATTACGACGCCTAATACAGCAAGACCGATAGGATTGAATATCCATTATGCAGGCATAGCATCCTTTGTTGTCTCGTTCAATACCACCAGCAATTGAGCAAGTAAGATAGTAGCCAATGGTGAGATTCTGAAGGAAAGATTCCTCCACGTCTGTAAACAAAAGATAATTGTCACATATTCCAAAAACCAGAACTTAAATGACAACCAATGGGTGAGTTATTATTTCATCCAATTTCAGATCAGAACAGAAGAAACCGATTTATTTGACGAAATTTCAAGAAGGCTGTCTTTGGACCTTACCTGAAGTAGCTGTATTAAAAATAAAAGCTAGTAAAAACGGAACGAAGGTTTAATTAGATTGATACTTTGTTTAATCATCAATGTATGACAGGGTCTTCTGTTCTTCTTCATAGATAAAAAGCAAGTAGCAGTGCAATGCAAGTAAACATACAACAGAACTTATAAATAATACATTTCAAGTCTGTTTAAATAATCGATAGATTTAAAAATCTAAACAAAGGAATTTTGACGATGATTTAACCTGAAAATGATGCCTTATTTTCAGCAGGTATATCGGTGTGGTTTACATTGTATAAAAACACCGGTTTAAGGTTGCCCAACTGTTCAGAGTCTTACAGTCATCATTCTCATTGCATTTCTCTCTACACTGATCAACATTTGTATCATAAGACATATAGATGAGTGGTGCTGTGAGCAGATAACATACACAGTAAAAAATAATGAGAGAGTTCATACCTTTTTGAGTGGAAACTAAGTTGCCACCCAAAATGGTGTAATCTTACACCACGTTTAGTGTTGAATTATTACACAATGTTGGTGCAAGTTTACACTATATTCTGTGTATCTGTACACTAATACTGGTGTTTTAGTTGGTAAGGCTAAGAGGTGAAAACTCTGAATACATTTTATTAAGTGTTATTGTTTACACGGATGTGGGTGTAGATTATGAATGTATACACCCGGTAGGCTTGTTTTACACACACTCAGTGTAACCTTATACACTTCTTAAAGTTAAAATATGTGAATTAACACCAATTTCGGTGCTTAGTTTACACTTTCTCCAAACTTATACACCTTTAAAGGTGTAAATGTTTACACTTAGATTTGGGTAGATATATTAAACACCAATATTGAATACTTCTTTAAGATGTAAGGTGTGGATGTAACCAATTTAAGGGCTGGGTAACACCTAGCTCAAACGATCTAATAAGTAAGCTAATTAATAGGTCTGATTTCTACAGCATTGAAAACTGTATACCTTAATAAAAGAACATAGATATTTCACATGGAAATATTGTTTGAACAGACCCCTGTATTTTAAAATGATGATTTGATCCATTTGGGCTTATAGTGTGAGTAAAGCCTGGGGTTTTCTTTGAATATTTTCTAAATTTTCCAAATAATATTGTTTGACTTAGAAAAGAATGTCTTTACATTGATAAAAATATGATTGTAACTGAAAGTTAACATTGAAAAGAAAAATCCAAGAAATTTCAACCAAAATGTAAAACTTTGGCTAAAAATTGACATAATGTGAGCTCATGTTTATATTTTTATTTACACAAATACATTCTAAGTCTAACAGTAATAATTTGAAGCTGTCATTCCAATTCACATAAAAAAACCCTTTTACTTTGCTCAGACAATAGACTTTTGAATATGTTTATCAAACAAACATCAAATCGATTGAGACTACTTTCTGGACTGCTAAAATGAAATTTGATGATCAAACCGATTAAGAGAAAATTAAAATCATGACCAGATTACCTGTTGTTTCCTCTTTCATCATGTCCACAATTCTTGATGGGCTAGAGTCTCAAGCTGTAAATCTATCTTGCGCCATTTTTTTCTGGGACTGGAATGTACTAGGCCGAACTTGATTGGGAAAACTACGGCCTCTAATACCAAGTGACATACGACTTATGAAATGGGGCGCGGTAATTAGGTCACAGGAAATTCGGTCACCGGAACTTTGGTCACAGTAGAAAGGTCACACGGTAATTTGGTCACAGTAATAAGGTCACACGGTAATTTGGTCACAGTAAAAAGGTCACACGGTAATTTGGTCACAGTAAAAAAGTCACTCAAATTGAATTTTAAAACTTGGTGTATTATTAAACATTTTGAAATTAATACTAAAGAGTTATATTCTGTTTAATTAATTATGACTTTAATTTATCGTAATAACAAGAATTATTTTCAATTGGCTTCTTATTGGAGTGACACATGTGTTCACAGGCAAATAAGGCCTGAAGCGGTAGCGGTAGGTTGTGTAAATTCCAACTCGGATTAATGAGCCGATCTTACGTTGTCTTTATGCCAATACAATAACTCTTTCCTGTGCCTGTGGTAATTTAGTTAATATCTGGCAAATATAACCACTCAACGTAAAACAACTTTTATCGTTAAATGGTCCAGTAGACTGAACTTCTACACAGTTTTCGTCCCCACTTTCATTGTTTGGTTCACCAGGTTGCCAGAACGACTCATCAACTGTTCCACCATTTATCCAATCTAAACGAGAATCATCCAGTGTTCTGTGTGCTCCAACATAGACAGACTGGTTATCTATAAAAAAAAATTTATACAGTGGAAGTTAAAACATTTCGGATTTGATATTGTACGGTTGGTATTATGTCTGTTTTAGAATAATGAAAATATTGTCAAGGATCAAGGGGGCTGCAAGTCGTAGGTTGTCATCAAGTGTTCTGTAGAGTTGATAGACTCTGCCTCCTCCAGTAACACCCTTAACAATACTAACTACCTCCTCCAGTAACACCCTTAACACTACTAACTACCTCCTCCAGTAACACCCTTAACAATACTAACTACCTCCTCCAGTAACACCCTTAACAATACTAACTACCTCCTCCAGTAACACCCTTAACAATACTAACTACCTCCTCCAGTAACACCCTTAACACTACTAACTACCTCCTCCAGTAACACCCTTAACAATACTAACTACCTCCTCCAGTAACACCCTAAACAATACTAACAACCTCCTCCAGTAACACCCTTAATAATATTAACTACCTCCTCCAGTAACAGCCCTAACAATACTAACAACCTCCTCCAGTAACACCCTAAACAATACTTACAACCTCCTCCAGTAACACCCTAAACAATACTAACAACCTCCTCCAGTAACACCCTTAATAATACTAACTACCTCCTCCAGTAACACCCTTAACAATACTAACTACCTCCTCCAGTAACACCCTTAACAATATTAACTACCTCCTCCAGTAAAACCCTTAATAATACTAAATACCTCCTCCAGTAACAACCTTAACAATACTAACTACCTCCTCCAGTAACACCCTTATCAATACTAACTAGCTCCTCCAGTAACACCCTTATCAATACTAACTACCCCCTCCAGTAACACCCTTAATAATAATAACAACCTCCTCCAGTAACACCCTTAATAATACTAACTACCTCCTCCAGTAACACCCTTAATAATACTTACTACCTCCTTCAGTAACACCCTTAACACTACTAACTACCTCCTCCAGTAACACCCTTAACAATACTAACTACCCCCTCCAGTAACACCCTTAACAATACTAACTACCTCCTCCAGTAATACCCTTAATAATACTAACTACCTCCTCCAGTAACACCCTTAACAATACTAACTACCTCCTCCAGTAACACCCTTAACAATACTAACTACCTCCTCCAGTAACACCCTTAACAATACTAACTACCTCCTCCAGTAACACCCTTAACAATACTAACTACCTCCTCCAGTAACACCCTAAACAATACTAACAACCTCCTCCAGTAACACCCTTAACAATACTAACTACCTCCTCCAGTAACACCCTTAACAATACTAACTACCTCCTCCAGTAACACCCTTAACAAAACAAACTACCTCCTCCAGTAACACCCTTAACAAAACTAACTACCCCCTCCAGTAACATCCTTAATAATACTAACTACCTCCTCCAGTAACACCCTTAACAAAACTAACTACCCCTCCAGTAACATCCTTAACAAAACTAACTACCTCCTCCAGTAACACCCTTAACAAACCTAACTACCTCCTCCAGTAACACCCTTAACAAAACTAACAACCTCCTCCAGTAACATCCTTAA